GTCTGTGACACTAGCGACTGCCTGTGTGTGCAGGGTGTGTGTCTGTGACACTAGCGACTGCCTGTGTGTGCAGGGTGTGTGTCTGTGACACTAGCACCTGCCTGTGTGTGTGCAGGGTGTGTGTCTGTGACACTAGTGCCTGCCTGTGTGTGTGCAGGGTGTGTGTCTGTGACACTAGCGACTGCCTGTGTGTGCAGGGTGTGCATCTGTGACACTAGCGCCTGCCTGTGTGTGTGCAGGGTGTGCGTCTGTGACACTAGCACCTGCCTGTGTGTGTGCAGGGTGTGCATCTGTGACACTAGCGACTGCCTGTGTGTGTGCAGGGTGTGCATCTGTGACACTAGCACCTGCCTGTGTGTGTGCAGGGTGTGCATCTGTGACACTAGCGCCTGCCTGTGTGTGTGCAGGGTGTGCGTCTGTGACACTAGCACCTGCCTGTGTGTGCAGGGTGTGTGTCTGTGACACTAGCACCTGCCTGTGTGTGCAGGGTGTGCGTCTGTGACACTAGCACCTGCCTGTGTGTGTGCAGGGTGTGCGTCTGTGACACTAGCACCTGCCTGTGTGTGCAGGGTGTGTGTCTGTGACACTAGCACCTGCCTGTGTGTGCAGGGTGTGCGTCTGTGACACTAGCACCTGCCTGTGTGTGTGCAGGGTGTGCATCTGTGACACTAGCACCTGCCTGTGTGTGTGCAGGGGGTGCGTCTGGGACACTAGCGCCTGCCTGTGTGTGTGCTGGTCTCCTGGCAGGACACCACCACCACCACCATCATAATGATGATTATTTGCTACTCATGGAAGTAAAGCAAACATCAACATTTTAGGGTCTAAGCAAATTTGAAAAGCCCATTTGTCATGCCCCACGTCCTGCGTCCTGCGCCGTCCTGTCCTGGGGCAGGAGGGCTGAGGATGGAGGCAGTGGCCAGGATTTCTCTTCACTCTAACTCATGAAACAGTTATGTAACAAATCTCCTATCAATCTTTGTTAATAAATTAAAAATTGTGCAGCTTCTTTGGAAGTTTCCTAACAAAGTCTTTGTCTCAGGGCCTCAGTTTATTCTCTAGAGTATTTGCTAATTTATTTTCATTAATGTTTGTCTTTGTATTTTTTTTCTTAGAATTATTATAGTACATAAGAGTTTTATTCAACTTTATAAAATCAAAGCCACTTTTAAATGTGAAGTGACACAGACAGGACCTGCTTGCTTTCCATTTCATGTTAAAGTAAGATACTTAACATAAGAATAGAGACTGAAATAAAACAGAGTGCATGCACACCCACGGGTCACACAGGAGGCTGCTCACCTACCGCTTGAACCACTTGGGCTGCGAGCGCACCGCCTGAGCTGTCTCCCGAGATGCAGACGCGGGCGGAATCCACGCCATACTGCCTAAGGATTTCATCCTGCAGAAAAAACTTGACTGCGGAAATACAGTCTTCAAGAGGAACTGGGAAATGATACTGCGGCGCTAGTCTGTAGCTTTAGAGGAACAAAAACCAACAAAGCATTTATAATTAAATACATGTTAAATTAACCAACAGACACATTGATCAACATTGGCCCATGTTGGAGTCTTGACGTTCACCAGCTAAGCCTGTGCTTACTAGTACTTTCTGTTTTTTTTTTTAAAAAGCAGTAAAAAAAAAAAAATCAAAATACTTCCTGGTACAAAGGATTTCAGGTATTCTATGGAGATGAGGACAAGGGTTTATTTCAGGAGAGATGAGTGAGGAAATGTTTTCTCTTCATCTCCATAAAAATAAATGAAATTCTTAGGGAAGAGCAAAGCAGACTCACTTCTGTGTTTATTACAGTCTCAGTGTCGGTGATTCATAAACTTCCAGAACTGTTGATGGAAATGCACTAGAAAATTTAAAAGCAGAAAATCTGACAGCAGATGATTTGTAGTTAGGTCTTTATAAGGTTTTATGTCCCATTTCATATCAGAAACACTGTATGAAAATTTGATTTAAAACAAGAACTGACCTATAAATATATAAGCATCGTGATGCAAGACATTTTGTTTAACCATTGTGAATTTGTACATGTTACTGCAGAATCTTCTAGTGAATCTGTGTGTATATTTTCTGTGATAGGAGCACACCTCTTCAGTTTAAAATTTTTTATAGTAGTGATCTTAATACTCATAAGAAATAGTGAATTATATCAACTGCAATCTTGTTAAAGTATCTAAAATATAGTATAATCTAAAATGCCAAAAATACAACCATTGCTTGAAATATTCTTTTAGTAAAAAATAAGCCTGGCACTGGTGGCTCATGCCTGTCATCCTAGCTACTCAGGAGGCTGAGATCTGAGGTTCATGGTTCAAAGCCAGCCCAGGCAAGGAAAGTCTGTGAGACTCTTATGTCCAATTGATCACCAGAAAACCAGAAGTGGTTCTGTGGCTCAAGTGGTAGAGCGCTCGCCCTGAGCTGAAGAGCTGAGGGACAGCACCCAGGCCCTAAGTTCAAGGCCCATGACTGATAAAAAAAAAATCCTAAGTAAGTTGATAGACTTTTTAAGTCTGTCCAACATATTTAATAATTCAAAAAGTTTATTAAAAATGATTAGGTGACGTCATGTAATTAAACTGCAGAATAAGAGGAAATCACCTATTGTTATATGAAATGTCTTTTTCTTTTGTGGTTGTAATATGACAGCACTGACTTCCTCTTATTGTTCACTTGACCCCCCTGGACTCTGTCTTAGCAAAGAAATTCTTCATTTAGGGGTAGGAAACAGCCTAAAGTCTCTGAAGTATGTTCTGGAGTATGGAATTTGCAAGACAGGAGGAAAACTTTTCCTCAGGATGAAGCATTCTACAGACTACACCTGAATAGGATACAAAGTAACAAGCACTTAATTGACTGTGAAATGTTCTTTGAAGCTTGGGTAAATGTTAGGAGACACTAAGCTGTTGTTTGAGAAGGACTTGAAATGCTCTAATCATCAGTTCCAACACAGGTTACTTAACATTACTCCAAGCAATAGAAGGCTCCTTGTGTAGATGACCGTCTCAACACAGTGTCAGTGTGCACCAGGGGCATGCTCTTCCTGCGTGTGCTGGCCAGGGGCCAGGCCAGGCCTGCCTCTGCACCCAGGGGTCTCCGGAGGGGCCTGGGCGCTGCCTGCCCCGGATAAGTCAAGCCCCCAGCCCCGGCGCCCCGGCCTCCCCCAGGCTTGGGAAATCAAGCTCGGCCAGCTTACTCGACTCCCACCACCACAGCATCCAGTTTGTTTGCCACCATTCTGTTCAGGAAGTTGTAGGCTTCCAGCTCTGCAATGAGACAAACATAAAGAAGGACCCTGCAAGTAAAGAGCAGTGGAAAACCACCTGAGCTTGTGACATGTCACTGGCGTTCTGCTGTGGTCCCTCTCTCTCCATTTGGAGGAACATCCTGTCCGAGTGACAAATTTTCCTAGTTCTAAGTCAAATGGGAACCAGAGTCCTCCTTGGCCACCCTTGTGCTGTGTCCCGGGGCGGGAGGCCGGGATGGCCTGGCAGTGTGTCGGACCCTGCTTCCGGCTGGCGGCCGTCTCTGGGAAAGCCTGTGGCAGCCTGCCCTGCCAGGGGCTCTTCTGGAAGAGTCCGCAGCCCCAGGGCCCGCTGCCAGCGCTAAGGACATCTGCAGAGCTCAGGGAGCAACTGTGTGTCATTTGGATCCCAAATCTCTGAGTATCTGTAGAACCTTGACTACAACAGACGTGTTCATTTCCATGGTATCTCATAAAATGGTCTGATACAATAAGCCAGAAATCGAGACTGGGGTTGGAGGTGGTATTGCAGACAGCACTGTCAATTTTTGTACATTCAGAGGTTGGACCCTATTTTATTTTTCCCAACACTGTTAGTATTGTTGTCTTTTCAAGGAAATGATGTTAATTTCTCTATTACCAAATATACTTCTTAGTGTCACTGAAGAAAGTAAGCTATCCTCTCTCTGAGATGTCAGACATCCGCATGAACATTCACATTCTTGTTTTTTTTGTTTTGTTTTGTTTTTGTCGGTCACGGGGCCTGAACTCTGGGCCTGGGTGCTGTCCCTCAGCTCTTCAGCTCAAGGGGGGTGCTCTACCACTTGAGCCACAGCGCCACTTCTGGCTTTCTCTGCTTGTGTGGTGCTGAGGAATTGAACCCAGGGCCTCATGCATGCAATGTATAAAAATACATTCAGGTTTTTTTTTAAATCTGGAGCTCTTCATGAATTTGCACGTCACCCCTGTGCAGAGCCATGCGAATCGTCTCTGAATCGTCCCAGTTTTAGTTTATGTGCTGCCAGTGGCTCACACCTGTAATCCTAGCTACTCCGGAGGCTGAGGGTTGTGGTTTGAAGCCAGCCCAGGCAGGGGAATCTGTGAGACTCATCTCCAATAAACTACCCTGAAGAAGCCAGAAGTGGCGCTGTGGCTCAAGTGGTAGAGTGTTAGCAGCTCATGGACAGCACCCAGGCTCTGAGTTCGAGTCCCAGCACAGCAGAAACCCACAAAACCCCATATGGTTTATTTTAATTTGAGGGGACTTGAAGTCAGGTTCTTTGTTATTTTTAAACATAAGCTTCATGTTAGCTTTTTGTACTTCCAAGACAATGCTATCAATACATTTGTTTAATAAAATCTCATCTATTATTTTAACTATGAGGACATTTGGGTAAGTTGTGATTGATACCATCAACTGAGATGCAGAGACTACTCACAAATAGATACTGTGTCAGGAAATGTCCTCTCAGTGACATGCATTACATGTGTAGGTCATGCATTTGACTTGATGCATACATATCCACAAGGTGCACTTACTGCAGCTTCCCATGACAAACGCACCCCCGTGTAAGAAAACGACCGCAGGCCTCCGGCGTTGTGCGGCCCCCGTGGGCACGTACAGGCGCACGGGGACGCCACCGAAGTCCGCGTCCAGCACTGTCAGGTTCCCGTCGGACTCCGGCCTTGTCAGGAGCACGCTCGATATTGTCAGGTAGAACTCTTCGTATGTTATGATACCCATGTTTTCAAGTAACATTGCCTGGCGACACAAAGCAAAATTTAAAACACTGACGATTTTCATTAACACCAAGTGCACAAAACGTCACAATTTAAAGGGAAGACTAGGGACGTTAAGCATCACTGCCCTACAAGACTGTGAAATTTATGTAATCAATCTCAATAATAAATTATCAAAAATAAAGGGAAGACTAATATATGACAGTGTGGTCTTTTGAATACCCTAACGTGTACTCTTACTGACTCACAGATACTGCAAGTGTGCGGTGTCCTGAATAAGAGTAACCTCATTTAAAGTTATCAGTTTCCCGATACTGTATCTGAGGTGAGTCTAATTGCTTCGTAAATGTAAAGTTTTGTCAGAAAAAATATATTTACATGATAAATATATATATTTTCGTTGTATTCATCTTTCTAACACTTTCATTTTATTTTAATTTGCTGGTCATTCAATTTAATAGAATATTTTTTGTGCTGCTCCTGGGGCTTGTGCTCAGAGTCCGGGCGCTGTCCCTGAGCTGTTGTGCGCAAGGCTAGTATTCCACCACTTGAGCCACAACTCCACTTCTAGGTTTTTGGTGATTAATTGGAGCTAAGAGTCTCACAGAAATCCGGGCACCAGTGGCTCATGCTTGTAATCCTAACTGCTCAGTAGGCTGAGATCCAAGGATTGCGGTTCAAAGCCAGCCTAGGTAGGAAAGTCCGTGAGACTCTAATCTCCAATGAACCACCAGAAAACTGGAAGTGGTGCTGTGACTCAAGTGAACTGAAGAGCTGAGGGACAGCGCCCAGGCCCAGAGTTCAAACCCCATGACCAATCCCCACCCCCCAAAAAAAACAAAAAGTGCTTGGAATGAAGTGGACTTTGAACTTAAAAAGCGATAGCTGTGAGGAACAATATGTGGTAACTGGTGTGTGCTGTTGGCCTTGTATAACCCCAACGCAACTGCTCTGCTACTTACAGATACTATGTTCGCCTTGTGTAACCCCAAAGCAACTGCTCTGCTACTTACAGATACTATGTTGGCCTTGTGTAACCCCAAAGCAACTGCTCTGCTACTTACAGATACTAAGTTTCAACTTAAAACACACACAGAAATGCATGCACAAGCAGATCAAACATATACTCAAGGAGACAGCCACATCCAAGTCACAAAATAAATGTGTGTTTGGAATTTGGAACTAGGAGGAGTCTGAGACATAATCTGAAAGTCAGGTGTAGGTATCTGTTGTCTTTGTGAGCTAAATTCGCAGGAACACCTCTGTGTGTGATGGCCATGTCTCGTTCACTTCAGGGTCACCTCGCCACCTCCTGGCCAAGGGAACAAGTCATTAGGTAAGAAACGAGAAGTAGGCTTAGTTTACTCTTCTTGGAAATTAGATCTGGTCAAAAGCCAAAAGCAAGTAGAATAGAGTGCAATTACATTCTTCAGTGTACAATTTTTAAATTATTTATGCTTAGCATCAATATTCTTGAATGTCTTTAAGAGAGATGAATTTATTTTTCCATACAAATATGAGTTATAATATTCTGATGTTTCTCAAAATCTTGAGGAATATGAGGATGGATATGTTTATTATTAACTCTTATTTGCAATGGAATTGTTAAAATATAGGTTCAAGTAGCTTAGTCCTAGCCAAGAAGGAATGAACTCAAAGTCATTAACCACAACTACAAATTATGTACACAATACAAAAGAAATACTACTCTGAGAAATGAACAGAAGTGTGATTAGGAAGAAATCCAAAACT